GAGAGTATTTCAACACGTGGCTGGTGGTTACCGATCTCCGGCCGCCGGGGTGGGAGGCGGCCATCCGCCACGATGGGCTGACGGTGTGGCGGAGCCACCCCCGGGACATGTTCCGCCGCTCGCTGCCGGGCCTTGTGCTGGCGCTATAAAAATGTAGAACAACTTTGTATTTTGTAAAATGGAGTTATATTCTAAAATATTAAGTAATCTATGGGAATATTTGAGGAAATTGTGTTGTATGGAATTATGGATAAGCCTTAAATGTAAATTGAAATTGAAATATATAAAAAGGGAACAACATAAATGTACAATAATTTACTTTTCACTATATATATTAGGGAACAACATAAATGTGCAATAATTTACTTTTCACTATATATATTCCGAGATGTTGCATAGAACAAATCATCTTTTTGAAATACTTAACAGTGGCCAACTAAGGATAAATGCTAACTGATAAGCACTTAAATTTTATACCTTTCAATTAGTTGACTAGTTGTTTCTAAATTGATTTTAGAATAATTATGAATAATCAACTAAAACCTATCAACTAGAATGTAATTTAACTTATAGAATTTGATTTAAGGTGGACTAATTCATTTTTGGTTCAAATATCATTTAGATCACCGAAGTGTCAAATTTGTTTCATTTTAATTATTGAACTTTGGCATTTGTTCTATTCTTATTTTTAATTTTCAAAATCTCTATTTTAGTTAAAATAATAACTTTTGTTCTCACATTTATTTTGTTTTTATAAATTAATGATGTAGTAAACTAGGTGTATATCGGCATGTTAATTAAGTATGTATTTTGGCCACATAGGGTTGAAGATGAGCATTGGGCAAGTGACAAGATAAGATACTCATGACTAAAATGGTTATCTTTAAAAGTTTAATGATTAAAACTTGACATCTTGAAAATTCAAGAACTATAATCAGACAAACTTTTTACTTCATCAACATATATAATAGATAGGGAGCTTTGTTTAGATTTACATGGGACATACTTGAAAGGATATCAAGATGAATATTTTTTTTTTTTACAACATGTGGTGGATAGAGATTTGAACTCATGATAGTTAGAAACAATTGAGCCTAGGGTCATGTTATCAAGATGAATATTTGAAGTTCGATGAAATAAACTTGAAAATTCAGGAACCAAAATAGAATTTAAACTTTTTTTTTAAGTGTGACAGTATTAAGAGTTGAGTTCCCTCTAAAAAAATATGAAGCTTACCAAGAGAATATATAACTTTCTACTTTTGATACATTATTAAACCACCCCCTAATTCATAATAGTGATATTGTGATTGTCCCTCTAAATTCATGGGTTTTTCTACTTCTACAACTTTTTTTTTTCAGCTGCAATCTCAAAATGGGATTTTCAACCAGATTTTAGACTGACTTGAAAGAAACCTTCTTGATGATTAGATTTTAGGCATGGTGTTGGTGGCCACACATCTTTCAAAAGATTCTTTCACTTCTCTAATTCTCTTTCTTTGTCATATCCCTCATCAGATTCTTCAAAAACCTAACTTCAATTAAACCCTAAATTCTAAACTCTAATCAAGCAAAACCCCATTAAAAAGTAGTCACCATATAAGAAGAAAAAAGAAAAAGATCATTTCTTTCCCAAAAAAAAAAAATTGCSATTAAAAATCAACGTGAGATGATGAGAGATAGGTCTCACAGTCGTGTCTGCTTTCACTCATGTACTACAAGAGTACCATACTCCATTTGTTTACAATATAATTTTATCTTTACAAATATTTTTTTAATGTTGATAAACCCCACATCATTTTGTATACGATAATAACGTTGCAAGTAGTGAATTAAAGGAGCATCCATGCTCTCGTAGTATCAAAAAAAATTTCCTATCATCCGATGATTTGTCTAAATCCAAACAGTCGCTTTCTTACCCGTCGCCACCACACGTGTGACTTCATCTCTCTCTACTTGCTGAAATGATTGGTGGGATGTGTGGGAGCCTGCCCTTTGATTCCTCTCTAGTCGGCCATGATTGTAAGGACATATATAATAACTCTAGGAAAGAGATGGAGAACTTCCCTCTCTAATGCCTCTAATTTCTTCGGTACCTAATATCATTGCCAATACTGCCCTTGGGAGGAGAGATTGCTTTAATTTTCTTTCGTTGTCTCAACTAAAATGATTCGTTTGTCCTGAACCAGTGATATCAAAGAAAAGATTTTTTTSTTCCGTTTGACATCCAGAGGTCATTCATATCACAGTAGAAAYATTGAAGAGATCTATAGTGTTACCGAAGGGTAGCTATTGATGGGATTCTCGGGTGTTGAATTGTGGACGAATGCTCAAATATCTAACAAATGTGGTTTGAGGAGAGGATTGTTATAAGAGAATGACAAAAGAGTGGTCGGAGTTTGTTATTCTACAATGTGATCCCTCGTTGAKCTCTATTGGATTGAGGTACGTTCCATAAAAGAGGTGTTGACTTGAATTAGAGAAAGTTCTTGACGTGTCAGATCGAGAAAACTCGAAATAATATAAGAGTATCAATAAAGTTGTTTTTTGCAACTCTATTCCTTTTGTCCCTTGGGATTCCGAAAACCTTTTAACTAAAACAGAAGACGTAACTGTTAAAGGTATGTGTTTTCTTGAATATTTCATAGGAAACAAAGTAGTACAAAATGAACATACATTACTCTATGAATTTACATTATAATACACATAAAACAGTACATTAGTTCAAAAATGGCCAAAACAAAACTGAATTTATAACAAAATTCAATTTCTCAAAGATTCATCACCCTCTCTTTGCATTGATGATGGAGCAGGGGGCTTCATAATATGATCTTCTCCATAAGTTTCACCTAAGAACTTGTTTGGATACTGATATTTTTTGGCTCTCATCTCGGTTAATTTTGCATTATCCCAGATTGGAGAAGCCAGGTTTGATCTAAACTCATGAGCAACTCCACCTTCCCGAGGTAACGGGGACAAGATCTTGTTCTTTACGTTGTCGTTAGTTCGGTTTTTGCATAGGTTGTCTTCCATTGTTTCATAGTAATCAGCTGTCCTAACCTCCTGAGCAAGAGAGCAGCAACAGCAGAAAAGCCACTGTGAACAGTCTGCAACATTTGGTTTCCCGCAACACGAGTCGTTCTTTGGCAAGTCGAACCGTTTCCTCATTTGAATCCTCCAGTATCCACCATAGAGCAGCCCAAACATGGAAAGCAGAATTCCAATTAAACTGAGAGCTACTTTGACAGACCAAGGATCAACAATGTTAGCTGCCAAACCAAACAAACAAAGCGGGGCGGTGCAGAAGATTACGAATGTCGCGACATGCACGTATTTGTTCCCGAATCTGAGCCTTTCCATGTTCCATCCAAATAAACAGAAGCTGCAGAAGATGGAAAGGCAGGCTGTTYTAATGTCATCCAAGAAATGGAACAGCCCCCCTCTCCATTGTGGCTTCTCAACAATTCTTGGTGCAACCGAGACGCTCTCTTCGACATTGTCATCGCAGTCGTATTCCTTTCCAAGTGGGCCAAAAGTGGAGTATAAACCAGCACCTGCAGCAGCTGAGATTGCAACAGCAAGGCAGACTGAAACTCCAAAAACTGACCTCTCAGGTTTTTTGTAGCTCAAATTAAGGCCAGATAAAGCATATTGGGCAATGCAGTTTATGTTAAGCAACACAAGGAGTACCATCATGTGTCTCCATTCATGAGGCTTGTAAGTTCCATTTGTGCAGTATATTTCTCGCAGTGTACGAATATCGTTCGGTTTCCACCTACACAGAAGTATCGAGTGGTGAATCCGCTTAGGATGATGGTACAAACACATGAGAGTGAAGAGAGCAGTCAGGATTTGGTTATTAGCCTCAAACCAAACATCTCTCTGTGGTTTACTTGGCAAGAGATTGTTCAACATTCCAGTCATTACAAGAAAGAGTACCGCTCCCGAAACTGTGACGCACATCATCCACAAAAGAAGGGCAATGTTCAAAGGGTTTTTGATCCACTCTTTACAAAATCCTACGGAAGATCTCAACTTGATTTTCGATCTAAGAATCCCTCCTGAAGAAGTAACAGACCGTGAAATCCCATCCCTTCTCTCTGCTATTTGCAAAAACTTGGCAGATGGGGAGGGCACATTTGCAGAGCCAATCTTTGAATTCTCACCCCCAAGTAGTTTCCTTTTGTATATCGAATCGTGAAGATCATCTTCATCTTTGAAATCATGGATATAATATGGAGCATTTGAAATTGAAGCTTCTCTTGAATCCATTTACAAGCACAAGATGCAAAACAAGCTGAGTTCTTGGCTCCTACATGACRAACATTTCAAATTGCATTAAACTACTAACTATTGGCATATTGCATATAATCTTGTAAAAAACTCATGGACAACCATATTCAAATTTCAAAAAGCTAAAACTTTTTAGTTAAATTATAAACTTAGTTGATATATTTAGGGTATTGTGGCTATTTACTTCCTCAACATTAGAAACTTTAGTTACCTCCCAAAACTTTGAATTATTCTTATATTTAGTCTCCACCTTTAAGAGCATTTACGAAATGTATAGTTTAACTTTAACCAGCCCTTCTAATCATTCAAAACACTCATGATTAATATCAGTGTTATTTCATATTTTGTGATCAGATGTTCATGTGGATGCAGAAGCAAGCAATAATTGAGTTGGGAATAAACACAAACACCTACAGATCTTTAACAGCAAACTTTTTTCTTTCAAATTTGAATCTATAATTGTGTTTGAACCCATAAACACCAAAAAGTTCAGATTCTAAACCCCATTTGGGTAAGGAAAAAGAAGACACAGGGCAGCAATTTCCTTCAAGAGAAGCCCATATATTAACACCCTCCACACCCATTCACAGATTAAAGAAAGTTGAAGCAGAACTTACAAATATTACAGCAGACCCAGAGAAGCAAACTCAAAAAGTAACCATTCAAGTATAAAGAGAACTTCATTAAAAGGGAATTGAGAAATGGTACCAAAGTTGCAGTTCGAGCTGCTCATCAAAGAAAAGGTGGCTAAATTCCACCCCAAATGCTGGCCATTTGTCAACAGAAGCAGCCAGGACTAGGGATTAGGAATTAGGAATCATATTTTGTCCATATGTCTCTTTTCCTTCTCTTTTCCTTTTACCCCTTTTGCAAAAGAGCTACCTTCAAAATGCCATTGCCATGGTGGGAACTTTTTCAAAATTCCATTTCTTTTCTTTATTCTTTCCAGTGGGCTGAGATGAGCCCATTGATGAAAACTGATGGATTTAATCATGGGCTTAGATGGGATCGTGGTCTGGATTGTGTTATAGGCCAGTTCTGGGCTGACACGTTGACCACTCGCCATCTCAACTTTAGCTCGAATAGGCCGAAAGACAAAAATGGGACTGGCAGAATCACATATCGTTCATCCTAAGAGAGTGCAACTCGACTTCGACGTAAAAAAGACGGATGCCACGAAAATCCRTTAACATCAAATACGGGTCGGAGTGGGTAAGGTTTCCCAAAGTTTCACTACATAAAGGAGCCCCTCATTTTCGAAAGTACGCGATCGGCTCGACACTAGTTYGAACTAGGTTCTAACTTAAATTTAAGAGTCTATATTGTTGAGCACTGCGGTTACAAAGTTTTATGTAAGATATTTAACTTACCAAATGTCTRTTTCATACATATCACCTCGTCTGGAATGATGTCTCAATAGATTGGATTGAATTCTTCCTTACTTTACTTGGCCCAAACTCATCCGAGTAATTTAGAAATGGATGAAAAACGAGAGACTGAAATTGTCTCTCTATCTCAAGAAGTTCCCACCTCCATATGTGCTTTATGGATGTGGCAAATTTGGGAACTAAGAAGAAGAAAAACGTTAAACATTACCCACAAATAACATATAAATTAATTGACAACTCAAGTTATAAAATATTTTAGGGAAATTTCATCATCTTTTGAGGATGCTCTTTTAACTTATTGACTTAATTCTTTTTAATTATATCTAATGGAATAGTTAAGGTCACGTTTAAGAACGATTTAATTTTTAGTTTTCAGTTTTTTAAAAGTATGCTTGTTTTCTCGTCATTCCTTTGGTATGTTTTTCAAAATTTTCATAATACATTTAAATTCTTAGTCAAATTTTAAAAATAAAAACAATTTTTTGGTGGCGGTGGTCTGAAAAAAAAAATTTAAAAACAAACAGTTCAATAAGAAAAACAAAGTTGTAATCCATGTTTTCAATGTTTTCAAACATTTGTTATGATATTAGATTTAGAAATTGAATCTCAATTTTAAAAAAATTGTTCAAAGTATGTTTAGTAATATATTTGTAAACTAGTGAAGTTACCAACTAAATATTTATTTCAAGCTAAAATATTATTACTAATTTATGAACATATATATTATAAATGTTGTATAATTATTATTTTACAATATTATATAATTTATAATATATTATATTTTACAGGTTTTAATTTAACAAAAATGAAATGAATTTATAATATGAAATAATATATTTTTTAAAATTTCATTTTTTAAAAATAAATATACAATTTAAAGTTTCAAATTTAAAATAAAAAAACATTTCATAAATCAAAAAACTATTTTAAAAAATAAATCTGGCAAACAGATATTCACTTGATTCATTTGATTTCGTGAATCTTAAAATAATAAAAAAGTTGATAGGAATAAATAGGTTGAAGTACACATTGTGAGCTTAAATTTCAAAACTAAAAATTAAAAACAAAATTGTTATGGAATGAGATCTAAATTCTGTCATTTTAAATATTTGTGGCTCAACTATGAGCATTCGTATAATCGGATTACACTATTTTTTTTATTATTATATTTAGTGATCTATTATTGGTTGGTAGACACTTTCCTAACTTAGGTTTAATGAGATATCAATTTCATCCCTTAATTAAGTTTATGATTAAATTTATTGAAATTAAAAATCTAAGGTAAAAATGGACTTCTAAAGTAAGTATTGGAGTAATATATATATATTCCAACATTTAATGAAATTAAAGGGATTAAAATTTGAATGAAACTGATATCCAAATAAAGTAATAGTTAAATCAACATACACATTATTGCACATCAAATTTTGTTGAAAATACTCTTCATACCCACAAATTTCTTGATCATATTTGGCAAATTTTGAACTTAGAACTGCAAAAACCCATCAAATGATAGACAAGAAAAAGTGAGCTGAGAGGCAATATTTCCTACTTTTTTTCTGATTTGATTAGACATAAAAATTGGTTGTCATGTCTCCCACTTACCTAAATTTGTCCCAACTTTAATGAAGTTCATCATCTAAAATTTCAAAGGCTGTTTTAAGTATGAATTTGAAGTAGAATTTTATTTCACATTTATAAGAAAATAAATTTATTTAATTTGTAAAAGATAATCAAGATTAAAGTATGAAAATACCCCAAAAAAACCGTCTCAAACTTTTTTCTTCCAACATATACTAATTAAGTTGATAGTCATTGTTTCACCATCTCATCTAATTGTCGAAGATGTCTTAACTTTGAACTTTGTTTGACTAAAAAATAAAGTATTAAATTAATATTTTGGAGATAAAAGATAAACATAACTCAAAATTTCCAAAGACAATTCATTTTTCCTAAAAATACTCAAAAGTATAAGTATGTAATTTAACCTAAATTTTTTTAAATATTAAATTATTAGTTGATGACAACTCTTTATAAATAAAAGAGATAGTAATCTAACAAAAAGTATCAACGTGAAATACTTTTTATTTATTTTATTTCCAAGAATGAGGTCATCCTATGTGTACAAATTTTAAATTATGTTACTAAAAATGTGATTTGGGAATGTGATTATCATTATAGTCCTARTATATAATTACTTTTGTCACAATATACAATATTCTAAAGTATAGTGGAAAAGATTAGTGCAAAGGTATATTTGCTCAAACATTAAATCTAGTACTATAATGTTCCTAAGTTGAATGTTGACATGTCCACCAAGATAAATAATTAAATATTTAATATATGCTTGATACATATTTAAATTGATTATTATGTTTAGAAACTGARCTGGTTTGATAACTTATTTTGCAAAAAATTATTAAGAACTAGGAAKGTGTCTTTTAAACCGTYMTACACGAGGTCGTTATTTTTTAAAGAAATTCAATTTGTTCATACATATTTTTTGCTGATTCAAAAAAAGAAATAACTTGAACTCTCAAAATACTTCTTTAATATGTCAACATGAGCTTAGTTTAATGGYAAATGATCGGAGGTTRAAACTTTCATTTACAAATTGTTATACTAAAAAAGGCTTCTTTAATATAATTTATAAATTAGGCCAATCAAAAATCAGTTTTTGAATGTAGAATTATTATTATTTATTATTCACAATCTAGAAGCTAATTAATCATGATATATAAGATTTTGCCATAAAAATAATAATATTCTTCGCTATGTGATGAGAAATAAAAGGAATACAACAAAGTCAACTACCTTTAAAATATAATAACAAATTTAGGACAATGCAACAACTCACAGTGATTATTTAAGTAAATAATTTAATGATTAAAAAAAGCATCATAATAATGCATAATATTAGGTTAACTTTATTATTGCTCAACTTATTGAACTTTTTGGGTTTGCTAGTGCTAATTAATACAACTATGTCCAATTGCCACAGTCCCTAGTTGGAATTACACAAATAACACACTTTATAAAATTACATCATCCAACCTTCAATTTTTTCTCCCAAAGTATTTAAAAACTATTTCTTTCAAAATAGGTTAAATAACGCCTTTCATTTACGTACGTTTATGCTTGTGTCAAGTTCGTCTCTATGTACTTTTTTTTCTTTAAGCACGGACAAAGATAAAAACTAAAGAGAGAAAAAAGTGTAGAAAAGATCACGGAGAAGGATTACTTATAAAAAAAATGTAACTTTTACCGCATTACTATTATAAAAGTATCAATATTAGTATTAAGATATTTTTATTAAAAAAATGATGAACTTTGAATTACATCATTAAAATTTGAGTCAAGATTACACATTTTTGAATCATCATAGATTGATCGAGTAGGTATTAAAATAAATCTAAGGTGAGTCATCTATAATCTATATATGATGTTTAAAATTGTAAGATTAAACAAATTATGTCTCGTGAGATTAGCTGAAATGCGGGTGACACGTAACAAAAGAAAATTATTCATTTTTTCCTTGTTTTTTTTTTCTTTTTTGTCTGCTATATTACTAATATCTCTTTCGTTGGCTTGTTATAGTGGAATTCCAGGTCAATAGGCTACGTCCAAACAATGTTGTCCAGCCATAAAGTAAAAGACATGGTTGGCCCAAAAATGCTAAACAATAATATTCTTCTTCTTCCCCATTTTTAAATTAAATTGGGGTATTTTTTTTATCGGTTGAAGTATAATTTCATACAAATATAGATTGAAATATTGATAAAATATCAGTATCCATCAATATTTCTAAAACAAAGTATTAAAAATATAAAAAATATAAAAATATTTAAACTAAATAGCTTTTATCAATATCCATTAATATTTCTAAAAAATCATTAAAGATAAAAAAAATTATAAAAATATATAAATTAAATAGTAAGTTTTGTACCATTTTTAAATAAGTTTAGTTTTGATAATTATTTCTTGTTACTTGTTTTTTCTTTTTTGAGTATAACATGTGGGGGTAGGGATTCGAACACACAACCTCTTGGTTGAGGTACATATCAATTATCGCTGAGCTATGCTCGTTTGGGCGAAGTGTTTGTTCCCCACCGTTCACCGGAGCTTCGGTCACCAGCTCTCCTGTCATCAGGTCACCAACTTCCTTGACTTTCCGACGCGTCTTTGATATATACCAAAATTTACTTTATTATTACATTTTACATGAAGAACCATCTTGATATRTTTCCTAGATGTGCTGGACTGTGATGAGAGTCAATCATGTCAAATCTTAATAAATAACTTCAAATTCATAGTACAATAATTAATTCCCTATAGTTGCTTATATTTATTTAATCTAATTCAACGTTTTTTAGGCCCGTGAACTAAGGATTTTTGCCTTTTACTTTACTTTTAGTATCCTTTGGTTTTGATTTTGRATAGGTGAAATTTATTCACTCTCTCTTATATATTTCAACCAAAAACA